TGCCCCGAAGAGAGGTGCCTTCCAGCACTTGACGATCGAGGAAGCCGAGAGAATGATGGGCAAGAAGGCCGCTCCTACTCGTTGGGCCATCAGAGATTCTGACCGAAACAAGGCTGCCAGTCAGAGAGAAGAGTCACGAAGGCTTGTACACGGACCCACCGCTGTCAAGCAGGAAAGTTCTACCTTTCAGCAGGCCTCTCGGCGGGAGAAGATGGAACATGATGACATTGACATGTCTGGTGACGAATTTCAAGATGACGATGAGACTGCCGGTTTTGAGCCCGACAGAGATGAGGATACGAAAGACTCCAAAGACAGGGTCCGTCGTGAGCAGCTTGGTGCCAACTTATTTGGCGATGCAGATGAAAAGCTAGTCGAGAAAGAAGAAGCTGAACTTCACAAAGAAGAGGAGGCTAGAAAGCTACTCGGTAAACAGCTCAAAAAAGCTTTACGGAAACGTGATAAACAGTTTCAATACGATTCCGACTCTTCAGGCCGAGATCCTTTTGCATCGTCATCAGTAAGTCACAATTCACGCTATCACTTTATTTCATATTAACCTGGATATAACAGAGCGAGTCCGACTCTGATTCCGAGAAGGAGGATGAAGAGAATAAAGCAGACAAGGATAAGAACGGCAATGGTTCGTCCGCCAAGGGATCGAATACACCTCAAGGCAAGAAAACGGCCGCGGATGCTGCCAAGAAAGGGAAGTCCCTCAAGCGACCTGGTTCGCCACTAGGCTCGGATTCCAGCGGCACCGAGTCCACTCGGAACAAGAAGAAACCGAAGTTTGCAGCTACCAATTCAATCACTGGCAGTCGCAGTGCCACTCCTCTTCCCGGCGGACAGTCGGCCCGGGGAGCTGGTTCTACTAGCGACGGAGAGGTTACAGCCGGCGAGATGTCGGACGGTGCCGGGAGCAAGATGAAGCCACGCCCGCATCTAGGTACTGGTACCAAAGGCACCCCCGCAGGCTCTCGGTCTGGTAGTCCTGTACCTTCAAGGCCTCGGCCAGCTTCTCCCAATGCTGGACCGGTTCAGGAGCCCTTGAAACCGATTACATCACAAGAGATTCTGGATGCATTACCACCCCTGCCCAACGGCATCACCATCGGTGTGCTTCTTCGAATGTTTGACAACCGCGTTGATAAAGAAGGTCATCTTACTAGGAAGGAATGGCTCCAGCTGGTCAAGGAAAATGCAGTGTTCAGTCAGACTGATAAGCTGCTTCGTCGCAAAGCTTAAGGGCGGGCGGCTCATTAGTCCTTCCCGAAGAATGCGAGCGTGAGTGAAATTACTCGTTTTTTTTACTAGAGTGGACGCCCGGCTGGACTTTTTTGACTGTGAGGCACACGGGAAATTACTGCTGCTCTTTATGATTGAATGTTTAAGCTTAGGGGCTGCAGGATGCGGCGAACCGCACATGGCATTCTTCCCCCCCAAAAAGCCGTGCCACATCACAATCCTTTCTTACATAGAAGTCGATTAGGGATCCTTGATGGAAAAAAAATTCGGGAAGCCACGAAAGAACCTCGGCCTCATCGGTGGTGGGAGGCCATGTAATAGCAGCGCTAAATCTCGTATCACACCATAGAGACAAAATATAATACCATATGGCTGCGAATTAGCTACCGAATGAACAGGTTTATCTTTGCAGGTCATAGCAGTAATATCAGTAGATGTAGTAAGTCATACAAATTCGGGTATATTCGCGTCTCATGCCATCTATGTCAATGCCAGTCTAGTCGTAAATTTACTCGTCCATCTGCCACGAATAATCCAGATTCTTATTCCTCTCCCGCCGATTTATAGCCTTGAATCTCTCCGCCTCAAACCCATTACTCCGATCCACCCCGTCCCACCGATATCCCGGCGGGATCTGGTACCGATTCGGCGTCCACGCAGCCTTGTAGACAGGTCTTCCCTTGACCGACTTCGCCTTCCCAGCTCCGCCCCCTCCACCGTCCCCCATAGGCTTCACAAACGCAGCCATGGTATCGCCCCAGCGCACCTTAGCCTTCAATTCGGCATTCATCTCGGCATCGTCCTCATGCCGCGCAACAGTCATGACCTTAGCATCGTCAAGCGCCTCGCGGCGCCTCCGCGCATCCTCGATCTGGACGTCGCCGCGCAGCGCCAGCTCGGCCTCCTCGCGCTTCCGCGCCGCCTCCTCCGCCTCCCGCCGCAGCTCCGCCCGCTTCATGCTCACGTCCACCCGCCGCCCCGTCGCGTCCCGGTACACCGTCTCGGCCTCCTTGTGCGGCTTGCCGCGCTCGAACTCCGCGCGCTCGGCCGCACGCCGTCGCGCCAGCTGCGCCGATACCGCGGCGCCGCTTTGCAGCCCCGCGTACGTCCCGTCCGACATCATCACGGGGACCGAGTCGGCGTCGGCGTCGCCGGCCGCCGCGGCGCTCTCGGCTGCTGCTGAGGCGACGATCGCGTCTGCCTGGCGTGTCGCGTCGTCTTGGGCGCTCGTTTGTGATGTTGTTGTGCTATTGTTGGCGGTGGTACCGCCGAGGACTTTCCAGCCTGATTTCTTGGCTTTCCGGAACTCGGAGCTTGTCCCTGCTACTGTTGCGCTCATGGCCGTGTCGTCATCATCGTTGTCGCCGTCCCGGCCTTGGGGACGCGACCAGCCTGTCTCGTCGTCATCGGCTATTATGAGGCCCTCGTTGGCCTGCTTCCTCTTGCGCTTCTTGGAGGGTTTGGGATCGGCTGTTAGGTAGTGGGTTGCGAGGTAGTTGGATAGGTCGCCGGCCATTGTAGGCTGGATTGGTCGGATTGGGAGGCGCGTCTGCTGCCTTGATTTCGTCTGATTGTTTTCCTTTAATTTTGAGTTGGCCGATTGTGAGCTTGAGAGTGTGGTCGTGAAGGGCTAGGAGGGCCAGAGATTCGATAAGCTCTCTTCTTTGGAGATGATAGGATGTTGTTCTTGTAAGCGGATGATGTAATAAGAGTTGAAGCTGATACCGGTAGATGGTTATTATTTCCTCCGTACCGTTTTGCTACCTAATGCAGAAGTCAATCACTGAGGCTATGCATAAATGAATTTCCTCAGTCCGTCTCGGCTTGATTATGACCCCGCTAAGCACAACTGACTTGGAAATGCAATATTGAAAATGCAATACATGGTATGGTACGCACGTAATTCGGTTTTACTAGGCAGTACGGAATACTATTCTGTACACGATTTCCAAGATGTAAATTAAATATTTCGTTGATATTGGCTACATTCTAGTTTCAATAATGTAGCCTCCAGATAATAGTTAAGTGACTGCTTGACTGTTCTAAGACAAAAAATGGGTACAGGCCCTACGCTATCAAAAAGAAGACTCAGCTGGACTTCGATTACCAGCCAACTTCTTCAAAAAGCAAGGGCCCACGATACGTCAGCGGATTGTATCCTAATCTTTGCAAATCAGATTAATGTATGCTCTGAATGTCAGAGCCCGTGTCAAAGATCACGGACAGGAATATACGCAACATTACCATCTGTAAGGTAATGCGGAGGGATTCAGAGTGCAATACGGACGTAGAGATATGTATTTACGACGTTGTTAGTACTAACTAGAGAATTTCCGGAATTACACTAAATATAAAATAAGCGGTACTGACCGAATGAAAGGGTTCGTGCCAGGGCTTCAACTAAGGCAACGCGCCCCGCGGGCAAACCCTCTCGAATGCATCATTTGCATCATCCGGTAACTCCTGGCGCCTACGCTCTACGTACTTGTCGGGTGCCGATAAAATGGAAAAGATAGAAAACGAGCACTTACTTCCTTCCAGATTGGCCCACCATAAACTCCTGGTAGTTGCTGGAAAATTCGCCCATTTTGGGCATATATCGTATCTCCAGACTCCAGGCTTCAACGCCCCAGCCACATACAAGGCAATGATAGCCCGAATGTTCGCATGTTGATGATGCCATTCAGACATATCCAGCAACGGGCAGAGGGAAGCAATGGCCTCCGCACTAGTTGGTGACAGTGGGAGGTGGTGGCTGTGTTGAAGGTCCCGGCGTAGTTGATGGTGCTGACGTGAGCGCCGTTGACCCTTAACATCGAAGTTGATGCAGGAATCTGAGAAGACATATTATCGTGCAGATCTTGTATGGTCAATCGGATGCTTTGCGTCGATCGAGTCCGAAAAGCTGGTTCGAAAGACGGTAAGTTGCTATTTCACACACGAGTGTTGCTTTCGTTCACCTATCCTTTCCCCAAAAACCTTAGGGACCTGAGGGTTTTGTTGGTTCCAGAGAAGCACAGTGAAGTATGGACAGTACGATTATTTTCTCATACTGGTATTGCTCGCACCTTCCTCATATTAGGTTATGACTGCCTGCATTCGAAGCAGGCACCATCACGCCTAAACAGGTATCTCTCCTGCGATTCTCCCCGAGGGTACCTTCCAACTGCTACAACATAGCAATCCTGAGGAAGTTGACATCGTCGTATGAAGTAATTGCCTCCGGCATATAATGAGGGATATTAGGGCTCTGACTTATTCCACGGAGCTGTACATCGCTAAGCCAATCGACGATCTGCTCGGTCGATACTCCTTGGCCTCAGTCAAATAGGTATGGACCGACCGATATGCAGCTCGAGTCATCTCTAATCGATTAGATTGCAGACTTGGAGGCATACGACGGTTGCTCCCAACTCGCTTACTGCGTAGGGGGGCCATAGCGAAGGGGGTAGATCTGAAGCCGGAGGTTGCAGCTTCTCTTGTTAGGGGCGTCGGTAGGGACACGTGATTAAGTATGTCGTCAACCCTGGCGTTGTCAGCGCGTGGTTACGTACGTAGTACTAGGTAGTAAAGCTCCGAGTCCCCTTTATGACGGTGCATAAATACGTACGGAATAAAGACTAACGAAATTATGCGCTTATATGGGTCCGATAAGCGATAAGATGCCATTCTGACCTCCCTCACCTACACTACGTCCGTACACTACACTACAATTTTAACCAAGTCTGCACACGCATACTCCAACATGTGTGGGACCCATAGCTCAGCGGTAGAGCATCTGATTCCAGCTTGATTCAATCAAGCGAGCATCCAGAAGGTCATCCGTTCAAATCGGGTTGGGTTCAATGCCCTAATAGTCCCATATATTTTTTTCATTTATTTTCTTCTTTTTAACCGGCTTTGCTGAGGCTTCATTTGCTTCAGTTTGCGGCAGGCGATATTTTTGCGGCGAAAATCCAATGCAGTTATCGGTTGTTACGTGTACCTAGTTAAGCATGGTAAGCAGTTATTAAATGTTTGCTCGGTAAGCTTTTTGCTTATGCGTGCTGATATTCCCCGACGGCGTGAAGTTTTGCCGATGACCGAACAACCTGAAATGAAACAAGAAAAAAAGAAATGAAAAAAAAAAAAAGACAAAAAGAATGTCCATATAGGGAGGAATTAATTTTACTCAACTTGCTACTTCTTTGACGAGGATCCTCTGCCTCACAGAATCATAGATAGGGCCTGGGTCTCCTCCGGCTCATCAATATAACCCCGCTCCCTCATTACTGACATTCCAGCGACGCTCTGGCCCGGGGCTTTCAAGCCATTTTCCTCAGCCGGTGATGGTTCGAAATATGGTGACATGATTTGCGCTGATTACTGATCTCAGTTTCACGGAATAAAGTGGTGTGCACATCTCGGATCGCACAGCCTACTTCGCGCCTGACCTTGTGGTGTGTCTGAACGATGCAGCCCTGCCTCTGCAAGGAAGTCGGCAGGGCGGCGTCTTTCATATGGGCACCGACAATTTAAAGATCCTCAGCATTAATATACAAGATCTGATGATGATGTTGATGTTATCCTTGGCCATTCTCAAAGAACGTATGAATGTACTTAAGTCTGACTTGATGCCGTTGATGCCTGCACGTAGGGTCATCGCCACGATGTCTTCAAAAGCTATTTCAGCTATCCACCGGCTGAAAACCCCGCGCTGGAGGAAGATGGTTCCCTATGAGGCTCCGCAACACGATTTTAGATGATATCACGGCCTTCTCTATTCGCAACGTGATTGAGCGCCACATGTACCGACGCGGTGGGCCGGCAGTGGCAAGCTCGCCGTTGTAGCTCATGGCCAGCAGTCCGAATAAGTAGCATCATTTCCTATGAAGCGGGAACATGTATCACATTAATACCCTCAGTCAGCCTCGGGAAGCCAAGTGGGACAGGCCGACGACCTCGAGCGCGCAGGTGCCTGTAGTGAAGTCCTCACTCTTGTGGCTCAAGGATGAACCCTGAAGATGTATACCAGCACACCTCGATGGTCTCCCCTTCACATTTCCTCGCCTAGATCTCGTGAAGTCCCGCCTACACGGGTAGCTCGATTTGCTCCTCGACCGTAACAGGCTCGACTTGCCTCTGAGTATGAACGGCGGAACTGATTTAGCATGCTTGCCTCTTCGCGGAAGAGTGCCGCAGGCATTCGATGCTCGAGAGTGCCATCAGAAACATTTTCTCGACAATGATGGTTTCTCAAGGGCTGCAATCTGATTGTGAGGGTTCTTGAGACCTGAGAGCACACGGGTTAGTTACAATGGCAAGTAGAGCTGTTCATTTCAGTGTCCATGCGTCCAAGCGTCCGGACACGATGAAAGGCTGCTTCAACGTCAGAAGTTGTCGGAACAATAAGGCTTGAAAAGTGTCAATCTCGTCCTCTGCCTGGACCCCCTATTCCACGAACAGCAGTCTTCTGTCTTGGAAAAGAAAAATATTAGACTTTTCAGAGGCAAGTAAACAGGATAAATCTTGGCAGGTCGCGATTATCGTGAGCTTAGGTGTAATTACGGGGCTACTACTAATCATGCCGTTGACACCGAGCATTAGCTACTCATGGCATTCAGGTTGTGGCTCACGGGATGGGTCCTTTTGGGGCAAGAAGTCCTTGACTCTTACCGCATGTATACTTACGGATTACAAACCTCCTTCACATAATGTACTGGTAAAAAAACAGAAAGAAGCACTTCCACGTCGAGTTGAACGCTACCTAGTAGTAATCAGTATAACTTGAGAAGTTATACACTCGACTACTCCCACTGCGATACAGCCCATCACGGCCCGATATCAATACTGACTCCTGTTCTTGTTGTTGTGGTGGTGGTGGTGGTATATACTGCGTAGCCTTCTCGTAGGTACGTACACGCTACTGTCAGTACCTGATTCCCCAAGGCTACGGTCCACAGTGTGGTCACTAATACCACCCACATTCCGCTCCTCCATGACAATACCTGGTAATGACCAAGCAATGCAAGTAAGACCACCATTGGATGTACAACCGTATTATATAGTGCCTATGAGCAGAACATGAGATACACGTATCTTTACAGAGAAGGACCGTATAGGCATGCGGTCAGCGTGGCATCACGCTTCGACTTCTGTATGAGATTTGCAGACTGTTGATGGGAGCATACACGCAATCTCCTTCGGGATCCGAAGAATCAGCTCTAAGCCTAGGGAAAGAGACGTGGCGATTGAGTTAAAGGGGAATCTCAACGGGCAACGCGAGAAAGAGAGAGAGAGAAGGACGAGGAATCAACGGTCAAATCGTACGGATAAACCCCATTCATTCATGGTATTCTTGGTTATAGTGTTACAAGGCGACGATGGTGGTGTGAGTGTGTGGTGTAGTTACATCCGTACCTGGACTCGTCCCGTCACTCGCCTACCTCCAACGCGAGTAAGCAGGCCAAATACGAAGCACTGAATGCAGCCTAATGGTACGTATGGTGGTATTCCGTAAGTAGGTAGATAGATGAATATGTACAGGTAGCATCAAGTGCGCGGGCCCAAAATGCTTGCTTACATACATTCATACGTGGAGGGGGGATAAATCGGCTTTCCGCTATTCCGTCTCGATCATTATGGCTGTCTATCTGTCTGTGTAGGTACATTCCACCGCTCGCCAAGACGACAAGCTGGAATGCAAGAAGTCAATAATTCATGCAGCCGCAGCCGCATCTCTTGTCAGAAGCGAGCGCAACCCTTTTACGTATTTTTTTTTTCACCCTCCCTTTCTGTGTGTGTTTCTCACATGAAATATGTACATACGTATATGTATTTGCGCTTACTTCCACGAGAACACGAATGTAACACGGCAGATAACGCCGCTTCCTGTCGATCATTGATCGGTTTTTTTTTTCTTCGGATTTGTTGAAACTCTCCCTTTTCCTTCACACGTGTACAATATTTCTATACATACATAGTAGTGTAGTGTATTAGGATGTGAGCGTGCGCTGCTTCGTATAGATATGGATGGCTGGATGGATGGCAAGGAACACACCGTTGGGTATCTATTCGAGTCCAAGACTTTGGACTGGCTTTTCTCTTGTCAGCCCTCGGGGCCGGACGGGTTATCGAGAGACACATATCGTTGCTCGGGTTATATTAATGAGATGGGAGAGGTACGGCATGCGCATCTGTCCCGAGTCCCAGGGCTCTCGGTTGGAGCTACGATGCATACTCTGTATTATATACATACATCATACATACATACATACATAGGGAGACATTGATGCCCAGACGAGTTTGCAAATCGCAACTCTACACTACTTTTAGACGGAAAACGTGCAACGCTACCTATGTACGTCGTCCCGTCATGTCCATGTACATGTATGTATGTACTTGGGCAACCCGACGCAACGAATCACCAAGCCTCGCAGCCGAGCGTGAAATTTCCGCGATTGGCAGGGTAAACCATGTCGAGCTGGACCGAAAAAAAAAGGTCAACGTTCGGTGGGTATTGTGGAAACAATTCCCTAACCTAGGTTAAGTACATAACCCATGATCGTATTCTCACACACATGATCTACTAAATATCCGCGTCCTTCAGGCATGGGGTTCTCTGAGCGTGTTAAAAATAGGTGCGTGGAGATGTGCCGGAAACGCCCGCTCGAATATCAGGCTTTACTTGGTACAGCCAGGCGTGTGAGGGGAAAATCCATCCATACCTATGTAGGTAGGTAGTAGGTAGGTAGCCTACGGCCAACGGTGCTGCAGATCACATATATGGTATCGTGTATGCGTGTACTTCCCCTTCCAGATCACGCTACGATGTAAGATGCTGTGTGGAGAAACCCTGCAACCCGGCCGTCGTCTAGGTAGATAGTTTGGTCCAGAGGCGTTAGGTGTTGTCATATAGTTACAGCTATGAACCCGGTCAGCGTGCGATGGTCTGGACCAGTACATTGATTGGCGTGGCGGTATTTCGGGAGGGAGGAGCTGAGAATTGCTGGCCACGTTATAATACATAAGGTGCTGTGTAAGCTGTCGTGTTTTCGTTTTTGTTTTTCGGCAAGCTCCCGCAAGCTTCGGCTGTCTACCTTCTGCACTTATACTCTCTGCACCGTCTGTCGCGTTTGCGAACGATAGACATGCGGTTACGTTCTATTGTTGCCGGCGCCGCTACGGCGGTGCTCGCTCATGGCGTGTCCTCCGTAAGCGCGGCAACATGCACCGCTCATCTTCTCGTCGACAACTTCAACACCTGGTCGAGCGGGAAAAATACACTGGGGTATACCACAGGAGGTAAGCCGTCCCCAACAGCCAGAAGTTGTATCCTGACACCTTTGAAACAAGGGCTAAGAAGATGATCCAGATGACTCTACTCTGAAGTCGTTCAATTCGACCGGCGGTGTACTGACTTTCACACCCAAGAGTGTCACTTCGTATCTGTTTGAGACATTGGCTTGCACGGACGCCACCACTCCTGGATATAACGGCATCTCCTTCGCCATCAAAGGACCCCTGGCTGCCTCCGTCTCGATCGAGTTGCAGACCCAGACTTCCTGCAATGATACCGCGTACCAGAGCTTTTACTACACCGTTAATGGTCTGACCGGATCTCTTCAAACCGTCAACATCCCCTTCACCAGCTGGCCCGGCGCAAACCCCAAGGCCGTCGTCGGACTGGTGTGGTATGGCTTCTCTCAAGGCGAGACCGGAACCGATCACGAATGGAAACTCGACAACTTCCAGCTCCTCTGCACTGGCGTCGCGCCGCCACATGTAAAGCTACATGCGGAGCAATCAGTTGCGACCCGAGTCGCCAGTGACCTAGAGGCAAGGGATACGTGCAAGCTCACAGTCA